TGCCATTGGCAGCGGTGCTCACGACATACTGGTCGTAGCTGTTCGCAATTTGGGTAGCATTTACTAGTGTGAAACGAAAGCTGTCAGCATGGTTCGGCAGTCGACGCTGGACGAGATTGTAAATGCCCTCAGTGGACTGAGCGGCCACTGTGGACGCGGCACACAGCCAGAGCAGCGATTGAGACCACCGCATGGCGACAGGGAAGCAAGTGCCGTAGAGAGAGAGACTTGAAGAGAGCCAGTCTGGAGAACTGACTTCACAGGAGGATCAACAACTAGGCCTTATACTTTTCTTATTGTTCGAGAAATCCACGACCTGATGCTCCACCGCCAAGGACTGGCCGCGTTTTTAACGTTTAATTAAACTTAAGCTTTTGTCTTCCCTCTCAAATCGACTAGTTAGTTCCAGCATGTGCTGTCAATACCCCTGTTACATTCCCCCGATTAATTTCTGTAACTTTCCAACCAAAACGTGGGTCAATCAAGGGTGGTTGGACCCCTCAAGCCATGCGAGGTCGTGGCGCTAGCCGCGAAAGAAACTATGAAAGTCGTACGGAGACTTGTTTTGATTTCGGGAGAAAGTCCTTCCGCCCCTGCACTCCGTGGCTCTTGATGGCTCGTCACCCACGCAACAAAGGTGTCTTCGCCGTCAATACTCCTGCGAGACGTCTCATTGAACATCCTCCCTGCATTAGACTTGCCTTGTCATCCTGCACGAGGGCGCGGATGTAATCTAGAATGATCAGCGAAATTTTCTCCGCGGACAGATGGGGACTTACATGCGGCGTCAAACACGGGAAAGGAAATCTAACGATTGGCAGTCGGCATCTAGAAACCTTCCCCGAGCCCAAACTCACACAGTAGTACAGTGATGTTGTAGAGTAACGCCACCATTAGCAGTCCGAGTTTCGACCAATATTGCAGGAACCCAAGTGCCAGCTTATGTGCTCCTCGACGCCACGATGTGGCGTGGCTTGGAGCAGGAACGTCAGGGAACCAGAGTCAAGGTGAGGCCTGGGGCCTTGAAGACTGGATTCGGTGGATGCTTGATTAATCTGACCTTATTTTGCTGCGTCGAACACGCTCTCCCGCACACATTTATGGACAACGTCCACGAATAGTCCAGAATCGTATTGGACATACAGTACTGTAAGATAGGAAGGACGCCATCTTCGAACATTTTGAACTAGGCCGCCTCGATCTTCAGCTATACTACGAAGACAAAAGTGGCTGCATATTGATCGTCATACCACACCCTAAGGGCTCGCATCAGCCCCGTCGGGCCCTGGGTTATATCAAATACGAGAAGAAGTCAGGTCGAGTCACATTGGCGAACTCTTGTGCTCAGTTTCAGCATGAAGCTTTGCAGCTTGGGCACACGTCCAAACAAGGCAAAAAGAAACTTGCAGGGTGTCATGGGGAAATGGTAGCTTTGGTGATGTCCTGAAATGGTTACAAGGTGAAGATCGCTACAAGCAACTGTAACTGGAGGTTTTCTGTGCAGGGACCATGCGGGTCACGTTTCTGTTGCGTGATATGTCCGTCGAAGAAAGCTAATGAGCGCCTCCAGACAGATGCAGCCGACGATGTGTCTCGGTTGCGTCCTCGCATTGAGAGGGACGTCACCGTTGAGATCTGGACAATGCGCGACAAAAAGGCACAGCCAGTTGGCTTGATGATTTTATGAACTGGATGGAAGCAACATTGGATATCCGCAGTCACTCTTTTCCCTCACACATTATCGAAACCGGAACGGAGATCTAATTCCGGACCGAGGATTCCTGGGAAAGGTCTACTACCTCAAGGGAACGCTTCTTCCTGAGTCTGCTTCCAGGTCCAGGACGTTGTTTGGTTACAATTTCGCAATGGAAAATTTAGTTGGGACAGACGAGACTGCTTGACAAGCATGAAGAAGCCGACATTGTGCGGCGCATATGGGAGTCTGCCATTCGAAAGCACCAGACGACCATGCTCCCGATCTACATCAATATCCTCCGAAACTTCCCCAAGCAGCCGATGTTGAGTCGGCCGACCAGCTATTGGGAGATTCCACGAGGAATATTATATGGAAGCGTCCTCTGAGTGAAGCCGATAATAAGATACTCTACTATAGCGAGAAATACCATGCCAAGGGTGGTGGTAAAGATTGCTAGAGTAGGGGTTGTGGTGGGCTGACATCGTACAGGGTATTGCCATGATCTCCAAAATCTTGAAAAGGAAACCCGCAATGCTCCCTCGAATGCTTTGGGTTGTGCTACGTCCAAGGTCAGCAATAAGAACGGCAGAAGAAAAGCAGATTGAGGTGTTCAGGGATGCGGAGTTATGCGCCCCGCCAGAATCGACGTTCGCAAGGGCGATACGGAGAGCTCTGCGCGCATGTATAGCCATGTTCAAACAGACGGGGCACATGACTATATACTTTGTGCAAAACGACATTAGCGATGTCGATTTCTCTTTCGATTCAAATCGAGATACATTGAAGATCCATCACAAGTGGTTGGACTTCGATACGCTGCACCGAAAATATTCGTGCAGAGATCCCGGCAACGTGGCAGTACAAGATGCAGTATTTTTCTGTGATCATATTATTGAAGAGATCCTGAGGATGTTATCAGCAACTATTTTCTCAACCGCATCTACCCCCTACCACGGAGAAATGGAAATGATACGAAATGGCTTTGGGAACACATCGGCTGGATCTGGGAGCTGTTGCACTCCTGCGACCCTACTTCTGGGTCCTAGAGTCAACTTTTTGCCTCCGAGGGATGAGCAATATCCTCCCTAGACACCTTCACCAGACCTGCGCACAAACCTGAGTTATTCGATCACTCCCAGAAGGCCAAGCCATAGCCTCAGGAACCGAAATTACGCCTCCAGGAATAAAATAAGCCGTCAACAGGAACTTACTTTGGTTCCCCGAGGTGGGAAAAAAGGCTCTAGAAGCTACGTCGGGCTTCCGGAGAGTTATATGACCCCAAAAGGCGGCTTATAGGCTCCCAGAAGCCATATCAAAGCCTCTGGGAGCAAGAGGACTCCCAGGGCCAAGATGGCACGAAGGTCTATTAGATTTACCAATCAAGTTATGGAAATCCTGTCTTCCAATGCCCGATCATCGCTTTAAATTTTAGAATCTTTTACTCGGAGAATAGCGCGCGCACAGCTGGGTAAGAACAAACAGTATCCCTGTTGTCGTATTGATAAAGGGCCTGAACTAGCGAGATCTTACCGAGCGTTTTGAGAGCATTAGCCCTGAAGTGGAGAAACAGCTACTGACATGCCCCATTTTACCAATGGGGTAACTTACTGAGGTTTGCGATCACCACAGCAGTCAATTGGTGCAGTCAGTAGACAAGAATTTGTTTAATTTTTAGCGGGCTATTGGCAGTTTAGTTGACAATAGTGATAGTGATCAACGAGTATGTTGGGGGAGTTAATCAGGCCTCACAGTGTTGAGGATCAGAACCCAAGTATTCAAGTCCATGAACTTTTCGGATCCGAGACCATTTGAAAGCCTGTATGATCGTGGTAAAAGCATCGCTGCATTGGTCACAGCATAATGAGTGAGTTCGGCTTCTTACAGATCTCATTCTACCCGAGTCGTCAACTCAACGCCTTTTTCTACTGCTCGTATAATCAGTTGGGAAGATACAATGCGTATGTAGATGCTGTGGCATTCACAGATGTATTGTTGGTGACATTGGGTGCCATGAGCAGGTACAGTGTGATATGGAGCTGTCTGTCAACGTTCAGCAGCTCACTGGTAATGAACGCTCTTTGAGGAGATATATATTTCAACCAGACACTTCCACGTTCGTTGAAAGCCTCAGAAACCCGATAAGCAGAACATTGTAGAATTTACAGCCATCAAAAAGAAAACTTAGGAAAAAAAAAAACGAAAATATATATAAACCCAATGTATCGTGATGGTCACAAGTTCAAAAATTGAGTCAACGTATGGCCAAGCTTCGACGGGTTGACGGGTCGAGCACCCGCAGTCTAGACGGACAGGCCCACAGCTCAACACAACCAACACAACACTAAAGCGAGGCTAGGAAAAAAAAGTCCATGATTTCTAGGGATGAAATTGTAGGCACTTTTCGGTGATTCAACGGTGAGTCGCTCACAGATGAGGTGATCAGAACAAGAAATATGAGCTTGTCATTGCGGATTGAATATCTCCCACAAAGCCTCAATTTAAGAGGGCCGTGAAGGATTCAACAGTCAGCCAACGTTTCTTGACCGACTCAGCATTCCTTTTTCTCAACACGACTCTTGCTCGTCTCTCCCGCTGAGCATCTAGAGGCATCAAAAATGTCGCTGCAAATAGTTGCGGTAAAAAGAAGACATGGGTTTCAATAGGCCTCAATTAGGATAGGTGTCCTTCAATGGTTCCTACCAAGCTTGTAATTGACAGAAGCCGAGAAGTCTATAAATACGTCCTCTACCCCCGGCAGTTTGCTCTACAATTCTATCATTTGGCTACACAAAGAGCAGGCTTTGCGTTGGAGGTACTTGATAAGTTCTTCTTTTGGACTCCTACTGGAATTTCCACTGTACTGACATCTATAGATACATCGTGGACCTGAAACAGGACCCGTGAGAGATGTAATTGCCACCCTATACCACTGCTACCCATGTCAGCCGATCAAAGAGAAAAAGCTTGGTTAGCGTATGTTTTTTGCGAACATCTCTCTCCGCCGTAGCAGCCAACTGAACTGATCTACTGTCCCGGCCCTGGATCTATCCCAGATGCCAAAGGACGACTTACAGGTATGTAAATCTCAGCACGATACTGTCCAAATTCAACTGACTTCAAAGACTATGCGAAACAATCAGATCCGTGCATTCCGTCCAATATACACCAGCGCAAAGCCACGGAGCGCTTTCCCGTGTCTTCTTTCAGAACACGTGAGTCATGGAATACCTCTCCGGTCTACAAGCTAATGATGGGCAGGAAACCGTGGACAGCGCACCAGAGTGAGTCCGAACCAGCGGTGCCGTCAGTGCTCCACGCAAAACCGACTTACACAATATTTCTGGCCCTGCCGCTTTAAACAGGCCCATGCAGCATGTCCTATATTAAATACTGCAACCCAAGGCCGCGGGCCAAGAACAGGACGCATAAGCTCGAGACCTTTGTTCTCCACGACAAGTTGAGTGGAATATCGCGCCTGCTGCTGCGCCGAGTCCGATGATTTCTGCCAAGTCTGTGCCCCAGACACGAACACCACTGACATCTCCATGCCATTGTAGGAGCAGCCCATCGCCAACTGCGAAAACTCTTGTGGCGAGTAATCTATTCCCGCCGAGGTCAGATCAGACACGACGACGCGCTCCATCGCGTCTACTGCCCTCCTCCTCACCGCCTTCACACCCTGCCTTCACACCTGAACGGCGGAGTGCCTCAACCTCTCGCCGTCTACACGAAGCGGTCTCCCATTACGACTGTCCAATTTCTTGTCACAGGTTGGTTCGAAACGGGAACTTGCCCGGTGCAGCGCGGCTTCTTCGAAGCGACAGCCGGAGAATGCGACGAACCTGGATAAAACAACATGGCATGATTGGTGACTGCATTGCCGAAGAGAATTAGAAGTGATCTAGTTGGTAAGCGGTTATGATCACAATCCTGATCGATCATCTGTCTCAAGCGTACACTCGGGGGATTCTTCATGAAAAACGTAAAGTACAACACCTCGTCCAGCTGGATCAACGCTTGCTGACTCGGACCTCACCACAGGAAGACACCCTCAGATTCTCACACTCGAATGCGAAGTGAGCAAATGTCGTGTCTGCTCGACCTCCCCTACAGCAATTCCATGGTATGCTCTGTTTCTTCCACATGGCTACTGGTGGCATCGACGCGTCGCTACCTCGAACTTCGCCCAGTCGATTTGGTTCATCAGATCATGCGTTGGTATGCCTACCTGATGCAAGACCCAATGGAGCGCATAGCAGTGTCTGTTTCCCGGCATTTGAACACCCACAGGGGATAGCCTACTTGCGGCTTGGATCCTTGGCGTCCAGTGGGTGACCATCGTTGTCCTCAGATGGCATCTAGCGTCTTTCGAGCCTGAAAATCCGAAGACACCGGGAGGAGCCGATGTTTCGTCTTGCTAGAGCCGTATTTTCGTACACGGCGAGGTTGTTCGTCGAGTCTGCTTGCAAGGAGAATGTGAGGCGAAAGTCCCGTCATCTCTAGCCGAATCAACTAACAATAAACATCTCAGCTTCGAATCGATGGACAAGACCGAGGACGGCCAAACGAAAGAGAGAACCCATGACCCAAGAACCACGTCTGATAGAGTCCCCCTGATCCCTCTTACTCTCCGCGTTGCTGAGCTTGTCGACATGTGCGAGCGAGCGGGAACCACTCGGACATACACGGAGCTGCATGCTATCAGGTTTTTTTGTCTTTTCCCTGTTAGACAGAAGGTTGGAAGATTTGATTCCTAAGCTTGCGTTTTTCTATCCCAGCCCGAGCACTATGTGCAAAGCCCATCTACTTTGGATGTCACTGCAGCTGCAGGTCAGTCAAGCTATGCTGTATCTTTTGCCCATACCGTCCTCTAATATATCGCTATTGGCGACGCAAGCAGGTCTTGCCAGCAAATCGCCAAAGTCTCTACGTCCCCCGAGCCCACTATTCTTTGAGCGTCGCTGATGTTTCAAACTCATCGCGTCCCGGAGGACATCTGACATATCACTGTTCGAGCTATTCACAGTGAAAGGTGGGTTTGATGTTTGTAACAGCACCACAAGAGCCCTCGGGTTGTAGGACCTCTTTGACTATCCCGTACAAACTACACTGAATTTTCTACCCCTAATAAGCGCTCATGTCATATTTGCTTTGGAAGGAGTTTAAGCGGATGCCTGCTAGGACCACACCTGTGTTAGAGCACCCCTGTGCGGATATCCCCCGACCTTGAACGGCTGTCGTGGAGAGATGTTTTTACCAGTTCTGGTTTTAGATGGCTAGTTGGACCCCAATTGGACTTCAACCGTGCTATATCAGCAGCGGAGCATGCTGTATCGCATGGCTCAGGAATACGTCCACAGAAAGTAAGTACCGTTTCTTCATCGCTGTAGTGGACATTCTACGAGAGCTTGGGCGGACTGTGAATCGTAAGTACTGATGGAAAATTATTCATAAAGTTGCGACGGCTCCTACATGTAGAAGGAGCTGATCAGATATTCTTGAGCCAAAGCTTCCCAATGACAGGTTTGAACACGAGGGAAAGCTACTCTCACTCTCGCAATCGCTATATGATGTAGGCATTCTAGTGTAGAATAGGTTCAAGTCACTAGCAATAGTCATCGCAAGCAATTTCTTTGACGACGCAAGAAAAGAGCCTATCGCATAATCATCTTGAATTGAGCCCACGATTCGGATTTTCAAGACACATCACATGGCTCTACACCCGTAGGTCTGATCTTGAGCGTACAGTATGTTGCGTGATCATAGCTGAGCATTTTTTGAACTGAATCATCTTAATTGAGTTGGAGGCTGCACATCAGGGAGTGACGAAAGGGGATCAAAATCGCCTTGCGGAATCAAAACAATGCAATTGAAGTTTCTATGATGCGGGTGACATGGCAAGAAACCGCGCTGCCTCCATGAGACGTTGGCCACCCCTCTCTTCACCGCCCGACCATTCACTACAACAGTGATGTTTCGCTACACACATTTCACCACATCGACATCAACACATCAACGCATCAACACATCAACACATCAACACATCACCAACTCTCACCGACTCTCACCGACTCTCACCGACTCTCACCGACTCTCACCAACTCTCACCAACTCTCACCAACACTCACCAACACTCACCAACACTCACCAACACTCACCAACACTCACCAACACTCACCAACACTTACCAACACTCACCAACACTCACCAACACTCACCAACATCACAACAAACATTCCATCAAAACAAGCATCCCAGCACAACACTCTCGTCTCTGTTTGCTCTACGCCAGAATGAGAGTGCCAATTCCATTACGGCGAAGGGACTATCGGACCGCAAACTATCAATGCAGAACAATTGGGAATACGTCCTTTGGTAACAAGGACACTTCAGTTGTGATTTATAATTTTGGCCATTAAATTTGGGATGATCTATCTAGGGCTCATTCTATCTATCCAATGATGATCCTTCGGAATACAAAACAGATGAGGAAGATGTTGGGCAGGTCTTTGCTTCTTCGAATACTCTTGAATACTCGGATACTGGTCCCCAGCACCACGGAGAGGTGCCTGCACATTGCTATGGAGCCATAGCAAGTCATTGGCGAGCCAAGTCTTGCATGACTGGGCGCATTTTTACAGTCACAGGGCTCATTGGCTGTGAGGGAGCACATTTTTACATACACAGGGCTCATTAGCTGTGAGGGAGCGCAAGTCTTACATCGCTGGACTCGTGGCAGCGACATCCGTGGTCACGGAAGCTCTGGAGTCCTTGGTTACGCAGCATCTCCCTGCGAGGATTGTTGTTCACGCAGACCTATCCTGGAATTTCGCACTTGGCTGATCACTGCTTATCTGACTATTTCCATATCGGCTTTAGCAGAGCAAGGGTCCACCTTCCGACTTCCCCGAAATTATTCCACCCTTAGCTTCCCTGCTCCACTATTGATCGAGTTCGGTTCGGGAGAAGCCTTCCGGGTGTTCCAGGCCATCCCGTGGCTTACAAACTGTAGCTTTGCTTCTTCAGATCATCAAGAGGAGGACAAAACCAGTATTACGCAGGCTTAGTCAAGACACATCGAGCGAAGGCACATGTTTTTCGGTAATCAGATCTCGTAAAGAGGTATTCGAAAACAGATTACCCTAGACACACTTGTTTTCTTTCTCAAAGACCCAGTAATGGGCCAGGTCTAAATCGCCAAGGTCTGAAAATACAATGAGGCCAATCATACATCTATGTTGCCTCCAAAAGGAAACAATGCCTAGTCGTATATAGCTTAGCGTTATCATAGTGGGGCTATGGGGCTATGAATGTGTATTTGAGGTAATCCACTAGACTGAAAACTCCGATTTTTAGGTGACGTTATATTGGGATCAACAGCCCGGGCTGGGGGCTAAAAAATCATAGCAAGAAGCTCCTTTTAAATCGCGTCGACTTGACTGTCAGTCAATATTTGAAAAGTTTGTTCTTCCGAAGACATCCCTCCGGTCGTTGCCATTGCAACCACAAGGACGAGTCGGGAGGAAGCCAAATTATTTGTGTTCTTGCCTCATTCTCCATCTTCTATCTGGCTTGCCATAATGCCAAATGCAACCAAGTCCAGTCGAAATTTGACTGATTTGTGTCGACCAGTTAAGAGACGACGTCTTCAACGTGAAATCGATACTATTCTTTCGGTGAGTCAGGCACTTCACCCTTAGTTCCCTCCTAGAAGACAAACTAACTCTGCTAGGAGTCCGATGGAACAATCGAGGACCACCAGCTTTGCGACCATTTGATCGACACCACTACAGATTCAAATAAAAGGCTCAGATCCGAACTCGCAGAAACCCGGGGGCAATTGGCAAGAGTTCAAAGAGACTACGATGAACTGGAATCTGATCACTCACAGTGTCCCTACTGGATTCAGAGGAACGAGTCTCTTGCTACGACTTTGGATGATCGTTGCGAGAAGCTCGAGAAAGAGAACGAAAGACTCCAAAATATTTGCGATGAGTTGACCTCTGAAATTCGACATCTTCGTACTCAAAACTACGATGAAGTCGACAATACGGATAGGGAGGGGCAGGATGATATTCAGTAACCATTTCATGAATGAAAGTCGAGTGATATTCGCAATTGGTTATTTTTCTTGGTCCGAGCTGCTCACCGGCTGAAGCTTTAGTTGAAAACTATGAGAGGTCAGATCGACCACAGAGGGGACGAGTACGTTGTGAAACGACTTCGTGCTCACTACAAGGATTAATAAGATTCTGTCCAACCATCGCCCCTTCTTCGCATGACCAAGCGTCTGGCAGTAACGAAGAATGCAAATATGGAGATGGCTATCACCAATTGCAGGACATCTTCGTTAGCTGACCGGCAAGGCCTTAGGATCGAAAGGTGATTGAAAGGCTCGTCACTCTTAGTGGAACGAAAACGATATGAGATCGTTGGTGTAGCAACCGAATGTGATATGCAGGCTACCCCCGGTTATATATTACTTTCCTCGTAGTGATACTTTGAGTATCGCGTTCCGCTTCTTAAGCGCGCTTAGGGTCACGCCAAGGCCTGTCATGACCGCCTAATATCCGTGGTCACAGCTATGCTGCTTTCATGGCGCGCAGCTCCGAAATCGGTTTGACGCTTCGACGGAGTCCCAAGACCACTTCTGCAATCTTGGTCGTGGAAGGACTGTAGAATCTACCCTGTGCTGCTTTTCCATATTATCCAACTATTTGGATCTACTGTTGGACATGTCGCCCACTTCCCCTCGCAACTCCCTCGGTAAATCCCTCAACCTTGGCAGTCCAGTAGGATGTGATCGGTTCCTAGGTAGGGATCCAGAGAGCCGCCGTGTTTAACTCACTGGTAAGATGCGGCCGATCTGGCCCACGTGACTACCTATTCCTACTGCCCAAAAGATTTAGGTGGAAAATCAAGAACGGGAGGCATTTTAAAGAGACTATCCACGAGCATAGGGAGCTGGTCAAGGGAAATGGGCAGGTAGCTCTTTACTTTCCAATCTTCGTAGTATGATCGACGATCCATGGCTCCAGCGTGGGGGCCAAAGTTAGAGAGGCCTGGCCAATCTTTAGGCGCTGACGGTGATCGAAACGGTCGGGATCTGCCGCAGCAGGGCCATATTCCGTACAACAATTTCAGAATTTGTGGAAAATAGCTAAAGGCATTGAGAAGCTCCTATCCGCACTACCCGATACGCCATACCGGCAGGAAGTAAAAGCGAATTCTTTGGGTTTGTCCATCGTTTGGTTGTACCCTGAGAAAGATACTTGGTCGCTAGTGGGTAGCCGGGGCAAATTCCGATATTCCCGATACGCCAAACCATCAACGGCCCGCGTGCCCGGAGATTGACTGGAATTATCTTGACCCTCTGGAGACTGTATATGGTTTCCGAGACCTACATCACTTGCTGCAATGGTAACATAGACCCTAGCGGTTTCCTAAGGATGTGGTCTTGCGCATTGGTGTACTGCATAGGGGCAGGTTAAATGAATTGAGCTGAGCAGTCCGGCTTCCTTTCTTTCGTTAACCTCTACGGTCAAGCGCTTGGGACGCGATTGTCTTTTCTTTTTCACCGAGGTAAATGATATATCAATCACGTCGCCTGTCCCTCTTTATCATACACGTTGAGTTTTTTTCAACATGCCCTCCTTGCTTTCACTTCCTCCAGAGATCGTCGCGCAGATATGTGGTTACCTCGCACTTAACGACCTACCTAGCGTTTATGAGCTGGCCCTAACAAGCAAACATTGCCACGCCACCGCTAGCAAATACCGGTTTCCCCATGTCAAACTTACTATCGTGACTGTGGATCCCAATCCGGGGACTCGGAGTTGAACACCAGGCTTTGGATTTTTGGACGACGCCAGCGGTCTTCCATAGCTGCATATTTTCATTCTTACGAAAATATTTTACTTTTACCTCAATCCAAGTTCAATTTCGACGAGGGGCCAGGGGAAATGATTTTACACACACATACTGTACCTCCAAGCGGGAAACTAAAAATAATACACCTCCTGGCTGAGTGACGAGTCGACAAATACAGTGATATTACTTGAAAGGTGGGATATCATGGCAGGTATCTAATAAAAATACAGTACGGTTACTGGCCTCCAATATTGTGGAAAAAGCAGATGGCATTAGACTTTGATGTTCGCGAAACATGAAGCAACTGACTTATGGTAGAGCTACCAAACTAAGGAAGGGGGAGGCTTGGAACAAAAATCAAAAGTCCACCACTCACTTGCGTCCTCACACAGCGAGTGAACTAAGACTTAAGAGACCGAAAATGACAACTTTAAGCGTAGGCAAACAATGACCGTTGACTGCCTTCATATCTAACAATCCATTGTAGAGCTCGGGAAGATCGACGAATCCGAAGAGGTCGCAGCGGTCGATGCCGCTGCCGCAACTGACACATGGCCGGATGTAGCGTCAGATGAAGTTGGCAGAGGTCTTGTGCTTGAAGTCGAGGTACATATACTGACACCGACGGTACAGGAGCTGCCCTTTTGAAGAGATTTATGGATTCTGCAGCTCGCTTCGTCTCCCTGGTCGTTGTGAAAGTAAAGCAGACCACTTTGATACACTTCAACCCACGCAGAATGTTGGTAAGAGCCACACAAATTGACTTTAACTGGGTTGGACTCGGATCTTGTATCATAGTGTTTTGTACTCAGATCTTGAAGCTGTTAGAAATGCTCTTCATCGTCAGTGGGTTTCTTACTGGAGCAGAAGGCGCCTTCAAGAGGTGCAAATGGCTCTGAGACACCAGTGCAGTTGAAATTTTCCGTGGAATACATGAAGCACTGGCCTTCATAGTCAATGATCTGAAGGGTCCCTCCGAGAGCCACTGAGATGGAAGTGAAAAAAGCCAGCAAAAGACTCATGTTCATACTGATCTTAGAGATGGACTATCAGAGTTCAGTT